CCTTAGCCTTACTCAATAAGTCTTCTACTGCTTCTGTAAATAACTCAATCTGTGACCCCGGTTTCCTATATATGCACGTTACAATTATATTACTTCTTCTTTCTATATCCAATTCCACTGTCACAGACTCCATTAAATCGTCTATAGCCACAGACATACATTCAACTTTTTTACATTTCAAATCACAATTAACAAAAAGTGCCACCCCTCCTGCCTTCTTCTTAGTTCTATTTACAAAGTATAAATCGTACCCTTCAATACAGAAATTACAACCCCTATTCTCATCTAACCATGTTTCAGACAGAGCAATTATTTGAAACCTTCGTGAACTGACAGCCCTGTTCCAATTTTTGTTTTGCTTATTTTGCAAATTCTGTGCACCGATCTGGGTCATCCTCGTTGAGATGCTGCAGTAGCTGGAGTTTGTAAGGGTGCCATTTGTGAGTAGCTAATATCCGCCGAAGGGATGTTCGACTAATGCCACTCTCCAGTGACATGTGGCGAGTGCTACGCTGTGGGCTCTTGCTGAATGAAGCTAGGACAGCCACTGATGTTTCTTCATTAGTGACAGTTTTCTTGCGTCCACATTTTGGCAAATTCAACACTGAACTGTAGCATGGGAGATGGGTGGTCTCGCAGGGTGTCTTGCATTGAAATCTGCTGCAATGACCCCGTTACTGCGTTCACCAGATATCAACACAATTTCGATCTGCTCCTCACATGTTAAACTCTTCGACATGTCAATGGCTGTGAACAAAGAGAAACTTGTAAATAACTCATGAAAGAATAAAGTTACATTGAAAGCAAGCGCACCATTGTTTTTCTTGTGACATTACCAATAAGTTTGATGTGTCACATGGCACTCTTCCTATTGGAAAAAAAAAGTTGTATCCAAGATGGCCAACTTCTAAATAGCCACCATGGTCACCACCCATCTTGAGGAGTTTGCCCCCTCACATATACTAATGTGCCACAAACAGGACTTTAATATCACCAACCATTCCCATGTTATTACGGTGTATCCATATAAATGGCGCACCCTGTACTGCTAGTATTATTATTATTATTATTATTATTATTATTATTATTTGTTTAGGGTTGTTTGCTAGACGACTGAAATTACTCTATGGACACTAGACAAAACAAACAAACAAACATGTAAATATGTTTTAATTTTAGTTTTATGTTCAAATTAATTACGTTTTGGTCAAAAATCTTTTTTTCATTAAAAATGAAAATGATTCAAAAGAAAGAAAAGAAATGAAAGAATGAATATAGAATAAATTGTTTTTGAAAGTAGAAGTTATTCTCTGTCTTCTGACAGAGAATAACTGTCTTCATATTCCAAAATAGGCAGTATCGAAACTTTAGAGAATATCATTAAAAATGCTGCCAGTGACTGGCATCTGGCAGGGAAAGCGATAAGATGAGTTTAACGATGCACCCCCCCCCCCACTCCGCTCCCAATTGTTTTCAAATTCTGACAAGTATTTCTCAAGACACATGACCTTTCCATCACCTTCTACCAGCCCAACAAGTGTTAATCTGCAACATAATGTGACGGTCCCCAATGTTTAGAAGACTCCTAATAAAATTCTAAATGTCAGACATATTCGTCTGGCATCTCACATCAGTTTTCATTGGAAAACAAGTCACTCATCTGGAAAGAAAAAACACTAGTTCCTAAATGTTCTGAAGGGATTTAAACTAAACCTGATCTGAAACAATTTCAGTCTGGACAACAACATATGGGATGCAGTGCAACAAAAAGGCCTAAAATCTTAAAATGAAATGTAAAGCCAGGAAACAGACAGACAGCCCAATCTCACCAGGAGAGGAAAGAGCTATTGGGATGGAAATTATTTAATTTATCCTGTGTCTGTGAATAAATGAATCAATGAAAATGCTAAGGGTGAGCTAATACAGCTTTAGTGAAGGTGGCCTGAGTGAGGTGGGGAAAGGAGCTGACTGATGCTGGGCAATTTATATTCAGATCGGGTTAGGGAAGCAGTAAGAAACACGATAAAAATTCCACCTTACTTCTTGCTTAAGGGGTTGTTGGACATTAGATACACGTCCACACCTAATATTTAATATCATTACTCTGGCCAGCCCAAATTACAAGGAATGTTGTAGAGAGGAGGAGCATGAGAAATACATTGACATTAAAGACCAGTTACATTTTGTAACACACTAGGATCACCTTCCTTTCCACTGAAGATAGCTGATTGACTTTCTAATGGTTTTCAAGGTTGCTTGTTGTTTGTTAGTTCTCATCAGTTAGTTATACCAGTTCTCAACATTTCCTAACATTTTCACAGTAATATGCTGTCATTTTTTCCCTCGAATAGTTAAGGCTGAAATCTATTGTGCGTATCTGATACTTCAATATTGCTTTATATTTTTTTAACCATGGAACAAGACTTTCCATCACCCTTTTATCTGGCAACTCAGGGGTGTAAACACTGTCCTGCTCACACTTTATAGTGGTTTTGTGGTGCTGCTGGCTTCAACTGAGGATATAGTCGGGTTGTGGAAGGAAGGATCAAGAATTTCAATCCCAGTGACTGGAAAGTTCTTCATCACAGTACTCGAGAAGAAATTCCAGAACAGAGTCTGCTAGTCAAATGTCAGATTTAGGAGGAATAATGTGGTTTTCATTCCACTCGTTGGTCCGCCTCCTTTTTCTCTCCAGGATATCTGAGTATGTGTGGGACTTTGCCCAACCAGTCTATTTGTATTTAGTATTATGTATTTTGCCAACTTGAAGTGGGGGGGGGAATCGCACTGCTGACAAAAAATTTGGCTTGCCACCCTTTGTTATCAGTTGTCTTCATAATGTTTATGGACAGGATATTTTGGTGGCAAGTGGCTGAAGGCTTAAGTGGTCTCAGGATCTCATCTCTGCTTTTTGCAGATGATGTGGTTCCATTGACTTCATCAGGGAGATGGGGTTTTTATATCTTCTCTTTTTAATTAATTAAACCTTTAACTGTAGGGTAAAAATAACTCTAATAAAGAAATTAACACCACAAATATAATTTGGCAGCATGAAAACAAACTCAACCACAGGGAAAAGCTATATGTTTACAAACTCATCCACTGATTCGGACCAGAATACACCAACTATGGCCCTAGCAGACAGTGAAATGGATGTGCGACATCAGGTCAGGAGTCATGAAGTGTTGTTTTTTTCCTGCCCTCTTGTCAGGAAATTGAAGCAGCATAAAGGGATGTCCTGTTCTTCACTGAGCTGGCTGAGCAGGGGCAGCGCTTGAGAGAGGAAATCAAAGCTTTCATGTAGGAGGACACATGTTTCACAACTCACTGAATCAAAGTGGGTCAAAATCTTTTTTTAGTTGACACTATACAGAGGTGTGACATGTTCATTTAGAACATGCGGGGTTCAAACAAACAAGTCAATGTGGCATTTAAGAGTGTAAAAGCGTTCATCATAAAACTGAGATTAAGAACAATGCTGCTCACTACGAAAAGCCTCAGCATACAAGGTTCCTGCAAAACAAGGAACTGCATTCAGTACATCCATCACCCTCTTCATCACATTTAAAAGGGTTAACAGCGGAGCACTTTTGACTACAGTCTCATTATGTGTGAAATGGACATTGAAAAAGTCATGTTAGACTCTACTGGACTAATCTGTATAGGAAAAAATACTAAATGTTGTATTTTATCATATCTATTGGTGTCTTTCCTTACTCTTTTGGCAGCTGAATGTGGTGTCTGTAATCATTTTAGATATAAGATTCTTATTCTATCATGTTTATGCTTTGATTTATTCAGCTCTTCTCTTTTAGTCTTTTTTTAACAAATAGAATTACAGCATGTAACAAGTGGGGAGTAGGACTTGAATCTCATTTCTGCCTTCAGGTCTCTTGCAGAGCCTTTCGCCTGATGATGGTAGCCATGAATGAACTGCAGTGCAACACAGACCTGACAGTCAACTTAGTTAGGCACGAGGTAACCCATATGGAAAAGATATATATAAATTTTATAAAGTCTGTATCTGTCTTGTGTGAAACTTGTATGAAAAGCATATAAGAGTGAAAACAGATATAAGATCCCTTGAAAAATTATGTAATGAAACTTGTATGTTTTGGATACTTACTAAAGCAATGTATGAAAGTAATGAGAAAGTGGCCACTTTCATGAGTAATCACATATAAGTTTTTACTATTTCTTTTCCATATGGAAAGCCTGAAATGATAGGACACGTTTCAAAGCTATCAAAACTCTTTAAGTACGAAACATGTCTGTTTGGAAACACATGTCAAAATGTAATAAGTCACATGACACACTACTGCTTATCTCCAGACTGATCTGGCTCACTCAGTGTAACTACAATATAACTTACAGTAGACACTAAAAACATGTAGGACAAAACTTAACTGGAATACTGCATATTGTTAAAAAATATAGTTTTCTTTTCATTTTAAGTGCATTAACACAGGTTAAAGCAACTTTCTAGAGCAATTGCAATTTAAAGTGTAAAATATCTGCCACCTTAAAGACACAGGAACACAGCAGCTCCTAATCAATCAACCATTGTACGATCTGTGTAGATGAGAGAGCAGTGACTTATATGCTTCACCAAGTTTAGATGCTGCTTTTAACGCTTGTATTAAATACAAGTTACCTTTTTGCTTTGGACTCAAATTATAAGCAGCAAATGATATTGCATAATTAATACTGAAGATTTTAAATTCCTAAACAGTGTCAAGCACAATCACAGTTTTTGTAGTACTGTTACTTGAAAGCAATATAATAATTGTATTTATTACTCAATGAAATTACATGCATTGTATAATGACAATAAGTACAAATTAAGGAGTAAAGACACATGAGTTGACTTGATGCAAACAGTTTATAATCAAGTAATGAACAGTAGTTCTCCTAGTTGAAAAATAATATGTGATACTAATAGCTACCACACAGTCTATATCTCCTGTAGACAAATATAGCTGCGTTGAGAGATGTAGTACCTGATATGCCAAAATCAAAGATGGCTAGGTTAACAGTCATGAGCTCAGGAGGCTTTAACTTGGTCTTCCGTTTCATGGTCATATAAATGACATATCCATTCCCTGTTGCAGACATGATTCCTGAAAAAGAGAAAGAAAGACTGCGATCATACCAATTATCCATTAGTTCAGATTCTTTCCCATCATTCTTCATGGTAGATCAAAATCAAGAGAGTATTTTTTAGTACTTTCCATCAGTTTTGACCAGATGCTCAATACCACTATTTAAACTGCAGGCCCAAATCTTGACAGAGCCTCTGTGTTTCACAAACGGCTAACTAATCTAGCTTGTTAGTTACCCCACAAGTTAGTTTGTGAGTATGATTTTCAACAGGAACACTGAGACTCAAACAATGAGTTTGTTGTTCCTAGTTTTAGAGCCCAAAATTAGACCTAAAACAGAGTGTTGATGTTCATTATTTCAACATGTTCAGAGCAGCAGGACAGGCTAAGTTCTCTCCTGAGAAATGTTATTCCCTCTTGCTTAAATTTTGGATTTTCTTTAATATGAAACTGAAAAAGTCCAAAGAGGTGGCTCACTGTTTGGATTTAAATATTGAAGAATTATGGACTCATTTAGACTTAAATGCATCTACTAAACATATCTACATTGACATGTGCTTTAAAATTGGATCCGGCACCACCAGCACTCTTTATGGTTAATATCAAATATTTTATATAATGTTACATAATTTCAGTTCCATTTTATTCATGGGTTTGGATGCCAAGCGTAAAGACATATGTTTGTCTATTAATAGAAGGCATAATAACACATTTTTTATTCCTCACAAACTATGTCACAATGTAACATTCAATTCCCCCTGAAATAACAGCATTACAACTGATCTCAGACGATGGTGAAATACTACAGCAGTAAACTCAGCCATAAGCACACTGTCCTTGAGTTAATATGAAGGCCACATGAAGCTTAGAGTTATAGAACTAACAGCTGAATTTTCAATTTTTAGCAGCAAAGAAATTTTTAGGCGCCATCCTATTACGGTACTGCGCTGGAATTCACTGAGCTCCTGAGAGCCACCGATTCTTTCACAAATGTTTGTAGAAGCTGTTTGCATGCATAGGTTATTTGCATGCAGGTTTATTTCAAAATAAAACAGCGTCTCAAAGGCATTGGGGTATTTCCCAGTGGTCTGAGGGTCATTTTAATCTGCTGTGTGTCAAATTGACCAGTGCATGATACAGCTACAGGAAATGAGTTGGGAATTCAGAACACATTACTCTCTCACACTCTCTGTCTTTGACAGAGACACTCGGTACTTTCTTCCCTATCCATGTCTTGTACAACATTTTCCCAATGATATGGATGATATCACAAGATGAAACAGGAACATGTAGATAAGGTTAAATAAGATAAGCCAAATGCAGCTTTATTCACTCTCTGGAATGCCTATGTATTGATGGAGACATAGCGAGATCTCTCCTGAGAGGGAATGCAGTTCAGTATGTTACATAGAATCTGATAGCAAGAAGATTTATGGGTTTGTTTGTGTGAAAGTGTGTGTGTGTGTGTGTGTGTGTGTGTGTGTGTGTGTGTGTG